GTTAATTGTTCTGCAAAATGTCAGGCCCCAAGGGGCCAGGGAAGGAGGTTTTCATGGGGTTGCAAGGGGAAGTATGGAGGCAGAGTACGTGGCTGTCTTTGATTGGTTCTTACAATATGCATCACAGTGACCAGCCGTTTCTAGGAGACAGAAGCAACTGGTACTACAACAGGAACTGTTACCTGGGCAACTAAGAAACTGGAGTATACTGGCTGGGGGCCATTTTCTGTTACAAACTAACAGCCTCTACCTTCAACTGTGTGTATTGCTGATTATGGCTGTGGAAGAAATAGCAACATGGTGAGCTGTAGTTCAGGGTTCTGTAATACCAATGTCACAGTAAGTTCAACACAGTATGGACTGGTGAGGTTACAGAAGGCTTCCTTGAGAAAATGATGTTTGAGCAGAGGATAAGAAAGAAAGAGTTAACTAGGTAAATGGGCTGGGAATGGGAATAGCTCCCCTTGCCAAGGGAGTTGGAAGGGAGCACGAGGCACTTGAAAGAGTTAGGGAAAGTTCACAGCACGGGCTGTTTTTCATTATAGGATTATGAGGTTGGAAGTGGTGATTCCTGTTTGTGTTGCAGGAAGCAGCGTCCTGGGGAGAGAAATGGGCTGATGTGGCTTAGTGGACTTCTGCTCTTCACTTGGGCTTATAATTTTTTTTATTAAGTCTTTCAGTTTAAGCTCAAGATCACTAGCACATCATCCCTTTCTCATCATCCTGCTTAAAAAGTCCATATGCCTTCTTGTTCCTTTTGGATGAGGATGAAGCTCCTTAAAACCCCACCAAGCCCTGCGTGGGTTTGTGCCCTCTTGCTCTCTGGCTGTCCTTTTCCCCCTGTTCTTCTCTGCTCTCCATGCTCCAAATGTCTCACCAGGCAGAATATTTGTTTTCATCCTTCATGCTCCTTCCGTCTTGTCTCTTTCTGCCTGTGCAGCTGTCCTTTCCCTCTTCCTTCACTCACATATACAGAATTATTTTCTAGTGTCTGTGATGTGTCAGGTACTCCTCTATGCCCTTTAGTGACACTGAAATTAAAAGTGTATTTGAAAGAAGAGAGCAAGAAAGAAGAGGAGGAGGAGAAGGAAGAGCAGAAGAAAGAAGAGGGGGAAGGAGGACAGAGGAAGAAGAGGAGGAAGGAGAGGAGAAAAGAGAAGGGAAAAGAGTGGGGGAGGGGAGAGGGCAGGAAGACGGGAAGGAGAGGAATTTGGCTTTGGTGACAGCCATTCAGCTAAAGAAATCCAAGATATCCAATGGAGAGAACCACCGGACTGGTGGTTAAGGAAGACTTTCCTGAAGCCGTCATTAAACCGAGGCCTGAATGACGAGAGGAGCCAGCCTGGCAGAAGTAAGGGGGAAGAATAATCCAGGCAGCAGGAACTAAAATCTCAAAGGCTGTAAAGTGGGAGTAGGAATGGAATGTAAGAAAAAGGAAAGAAGGAGTGTGTGACTGCATAAAAGCTAGGGGCAGGGCTAGTGGTGGGAGTGGAAATGGTATCAGATGAGGCCTGAGATAGTGTCAGGTCTTGTAGGTCTGTGTCAGCCAGTGGGAGGAGTCTGAATTATTTTCCAACCGACACTGAAGGTTTTTCAGAAGATTGACGTGATGTGATTTAGCTCTTACAGGGATCAGGATGGCTGCTGTGTAGAAAATGGACCGTAGGGAGTAAGGGTGAGACAGTTCATAAGACACAAGTTGGGAAGGGAGGGAGGGAGGCAGAGGGAGAGATGGAGGAAGGAAGGGAGGGAGGCGAGGAGAAGGAGCGCTCTATGGATAGTGGTGGGAAAGTGTTGAAATGGTGACTTTCCCATGGTGTGTGGATGTAACTGCAGTGATAACTGAGGAACTTTTTCTGAGCAACAGGAAGTGGGGAAAGGGGAAAATCAGGGCTACCTTGCTAAACGGTTGGTTTGATCAACTGTATCAGGTGGTGATGCCACTTATGAAAATGGGAAATGCTAGAGCAGGAGTTGATGTTTACGGGGTCAACTGAGAAGTCTACTCTATGTCAATGTGAGATACTTACATGCCATCCGAGTGGATTCTCAGTTCTGGATATTTGAGGGGAGGCTGGGCTCGATGCGTATATTTGGGGGAAATAGGGACATAGCCATGATGTTGCAATCATGGTGAGATGTGTGGATTGGGGAGAGAAGAGGCTCTGCCTGGTTAACCGCAGCTCATCACTCATATTTTCCTGATGGCTTCTTCTTTATGAATGCCTTCCCAATCCCTTGCTGGATAAATCCCTCTTGTGCTGCTTGTAGCTATCTTTTACCTCTCCTTCGCAGTGCTCCGTACACTTGAAATCTACGTAGATGTGTGACTGGTATTGTGATGGTTCTGAGGTTGCTTCCTGAAGGGAGTGTCTGTTTTGTTCACCATATTAAGAAAGATTGGAACTAAGGCAGAAAGCACGACCATGTGTTCCTCATTGTCACAGAGCATTGTGTAATACGTCGATCAGCAGGTCAACTGGTTACCATTTGATGTATTGTTTACCTTTCATGAGCATGTAGGCTCTGTAGAGTTAAGCCTGAACTTTTAAAATCGACAAGGTACAAATTATATTTTGTCTAACACAGAGAATTATTATCACAAAGGGGATGGCTTTATTATTCTATTCACACAAAATTAGTGAATATAATTAATGACTCTGAATTCCATACTTAAATGGATAAAATGATGAATGTTCCTTATATATATTTCACAATTTTAAAATATTGATAATGTAACATACCAAAACTATTAAATTGTACACATAATGAATTGTAGGGTGTATAAATTATAACTCAATAAAGTTGAAAAGATAAGGCATTATTCTTGCTTTATGGGAGTTTACTGTCTAATGGAGAAAATTATTGGTAAACAAACTTTTAAAAAGACAAAATGTTGAAACGATGGTTATAAGAACATTTGAGGAATCATACTGTTGCAGTTAAGTTCACTCTGTAATCTGGGGCAGCTCATTGAACCTCAGCTTCTTTATCAATAAAATGGGTCTACTATCACAGCATACTTCATAGAGCTACAGTTATACCTCAATAATGTGATCCATGTGTTTATGAAACATAGTAAGAATGCCGATTCAGCTATCATAACTACAGTTACAGTGAATATGCATTTAATAGCTAGAAGGACTACATAGACAGAAACATGTTTTATGCATATTCACAGTACATTTTGAGGTACCATCTCCCAGGGAATATTAGTTCAAATGAATGGCAGTCACAGGTACATAGTGCCTATCATCGTGCTTTTAATAATTTTGACAGAGGGTAAATTAAGTAAGCACATTTAACGTTCTTCAGAATTGTGTGGCAGAAAGCCTTCTATGGTGAGGGAGAAAAGTCTCACCAACACCAGTGTTAATGTTATGTATTTTCTATTAGGTTACTCAGATATTTACAAATATAAACTAAGCATAAGTTCTACTTGAGCTAATGTGATTATTATTACATCATTCATTGCTTTTTTGTTTCAATAGTGTAATTATTTAAATTTTCAGTATAGGAATTACAGCATAGTACAAAAAAGGGAATGACAGTTCTCCGTGCATATACATGACTCATACATCTTTTATGCTGTGATGGTGATATTATGGTATTCATTTATTCACACCAAGAGTAAAGTGCTGGCACCCACAGGTTGGGGGGTTTGTGTTCAAGATATCTATGTTACCTTCCTCCATGGGATGTCCCAGTTCTTTCATTACTTTGCTTGCACAACTGTAAACTTTCTTTTTTAACAGTGCTCTGTGGGATCATTTTACCTTTCTTAGAATCAATACAATTACCATCACAAATGCAGAAGTGACCTTGAAATTGTGTGGGAGAACTCTGTTATAAAGTGATCATCTAGAACATGCAGGATGTACTTGGACTGATTTCAATGATGTGTTATTTAAATGAAGTCACATAAATTAAAAATTTGTATGGAACTTTCAGACTTGAGAATATACTTTTGCTGATATTAACATGTCTACTCTTGGTAATTATTTACAAAGATATACGTAGTATTGTACTCTTTCTGTTTTTTCTATAGTATATATAGGAATTGTGCTATATTCCATTACCTTCTGATATTTTTTTCTCTCTAAGCTTCCGGTCTGCTGTGTTGTCTGTGCATGAGTGGTTTCCATGTCATGACACAATTCAAAGTAAATATGTATTTATGTCTACATCTACATCTATACCTCTGTGTTTAAAGTAAGAAAATAGTATTATTGGGTGTCTTTTCAACACTGTTCTTTGTTCTTTGTGACATATTATGCATTATTCATAAGAAAATCTGACAAAATAAATATAGCAGAACATGTATAAATCATAGATGAAACTTTCTTTAAGATCACGTTTAAATTTCTGAGACACAAATTCCCAGGTTGAGAGCAACAGTCCATATCACAATACAATACTGTACATGGCCACCAAACTCTAGTTAGAACTGATCCTTTTTTGTCTCATCTTTATTTTGTGTAAACATAAGAAGATTGCACAAAATAATCACCAACACTATCACTAGGTCAAATGTTCTCTGGTTCGTGGATTTCTTAACTGGTATAATTAATCTCTTTCAGGAAGCGTGAAACATTCCCACTGGAAATTAGATCCATGAGGCTAGGACTGTGTCTATTTGTTTTATACTTGCTCTTCAGCTAGAGCATGAAGAGTTGCACGTGAAAGACACTGTAAATATGCGTAGAATGCCCATTTACTGACTCTCTCTGTTATCCCAGGCACCAGATTTATTTTCCTCAATCCGCCAACCATGTAGATTTATTATGATATCCAAATGGACCCATACTGTCTACTTAGAGAAAGAAATCTAAACCGCTTTCCATGGCATTTAAGGACATCCACAGTCTGATTCCATTTACATGATACACAGATAAGATGTTAGCCAGGAAGCTTAGGACAAGAGGAAAAACAGAAACGATTAATCTCATTTCCTGCCATCTGACTCCTGTGAAACAGCCACGTTAAATGACTTATTGTCATGTATTTGCATCACCCATCAATTTTCAATGTTCTGGCTGCAAATGGGTGATTTTTTTTTCACATACAAATTTCTTTTGCATCTTTAGTAATTACAGAGACCTGAGATTTTCTCACATATTGTAAGTAAACAATTTTCTTTGCTTTTAGTATTTATGCTAGGAGTACTCCATTTTTCTCTTTTAATGTGGACACTTTAATGATTTGAGGCTTGTGTTTAATTCTTAATATATGACTATTACTGGTTTTTATGAGAAATTCTCATCATCTTATCTCTCTATTTGTTCTTTAGCTATTGGTTCATAATTTTTCTTTTACTTTTATATATTTTAGTTTATGTAATCTAAAAATTTTCTGGGAGTCTGCAAAAATTTTATCTTCTCTAAATAACAAAAACAATATAAAAATTTTTTTTATGTTAATTATTAATAATAATATTTCTCTTAAAATGTCTGTATAGCTGCTCTATTCATTTACTAAACTTATTACTTAGGGTATTTGTGTGCATTTAACAAAATTAATCCTTGAGACAATTAAAAACTGACCACATTAGCATTTCCAAATTCCCTCACTCTTTATTTTTACTGGATCTACTGTTAAATATATTTCCTTTAGCTTGTACTTGCATGTTTGAAAATTCAATTTCTTCCTTTTATTCCTGCTCAGAAATTTTTACCTTCTAATTTGTACTGTAAAGAAGTTAGTTGCTGAATTTTTAAATCCCTTAACAACGTTTATTGGAAATGTAGGGAAAATTCGAAAAGATGTAGAAAATTTTAGGCAGCTAAAAGTTTTCAAAAAAATTTTACTTGTAAAAATAATTTCTGCACTTTCATTTACCTAGATACTTACAAATAATAATTTTAATTTTAGTCAGGGCAGTTTAACAGTCCTTAAACTGTGGTAGGGTGTTGCCAGTTCTGGGATTGAAGAGTTTCGTTATCTATTGTTCTTTTCCTCATGCTCTTTCCTCTTTCCTCAGGGGACTCTATGTAGCCAGAATGGGGACAGACATGGGACTGAATGTGTGAGATACTCCCATATATTGTCATACCAGCTGTGAGAGCCATGTGCTACCTGAATGTGAAGGTAAGAAATGATGACATTTAGCATTTTTGAAGCAGAAAATTCCATGATGACTTCATAAAGGAAATTATATCTCCAGGTTTTTAGGAATAAGTAGCTCATAACCATTCAAAAATGATTTTTAAAAAACCTACAATATTGTGGCTTCAAAGAATGTGCCTTTCACTATATCTAATATGTTTTGTACTTAGTCATGCTACTGAGTGTGAGCAAATTTTCTATTGTCTATGAGGTTGGTCTTAAGGGATAACATACCATTGTCAAAAAGTTGCTTGTTTTCTTCTATACTTCCTGTTATTTTCTTTTTCATGTTATTTTCTAATGCAATTTGCTTAGCATTTTCTAAAGTGTGTTCCAGGATACCCTAGGCCCGAAAGAGCCTCTAAGGGAACAAAAAGCCAAAAAGATATTTTCAAATAGGTGTGTGTGACTCCAGTCTTGGAGGTTGTATTAGAGTTATCCAGAGAAAAAGGATAGAATACATAAGATATATGTTTTATATCTCTCATATATATGCTCCATATCCTATGTGCACATACACACACAGAGGAAGGTATTAGACTGGTTTACACCATCACAGAGGCTGAAAATTTTCACAATTACCATCTACAATCTGGAGGCTAGGGAAGTTGGTAGCATGAACTTCAGTTCAAGAAGTTGGCACATGAACTTCAGTTCAAGAAGTTGGCACAAGAGAACCCCATGTGGTAGCTCCCACTTAGAAGCCAAAGCTTGAGAACATCCAGAAGGTGACTGAAGTAAATCTCAGAGTCCAAAGCTGAAGAACTTAGTTTGATGCCCAAGGACAGCAACACAATAAGACACACCTTACTCGGGGAGAAAGAACCAAAGAGTATGTTTCCCCTTTCTTTTATTTCCTGTTCCACCTGGGCCTCCAGCCAATTGGACAGTGCTGTCCACATTTAGAGTGGATCATCCCTACTCAGCTTGCTGCCTCACATGCCAATCTCCTCTGGAAATATCCCGTAGGCATACTTAAAAGTAATCACAATCAAAAGACATCCCTCAATCCAGCCGATGTGACCACAATAATTAACCACTAGAGAGTAACAGTGCATATTTATGTCTGTTGGCATGGTAATGCAATGAAATAAAAATGACACCAGTATATGTGAGATTTTTTTTCTTAAGAATATTTGTTTAATAAAATAATTTTAAAAGCTAATAGAAATACTTAAGGCCCTGAGGACCTGGGTCAACAAGATACAAAGCCAGAGGAGAAACATCTATATCACAGTGCACTGGAAAATGCAAGGCAGTAAAAGACGGGAGGAGAGCAGAGAGGAGAAAGGAGTGAAAGCAGGAGAAAGGAGAAAGTGAAGTAGCTGAGCAGTATGGGGATTTTAGTCATTTGCATTATGATGATGTAATCCCCATTTGTGGTCTATTTTACACATAAAATTTTACATGAGAGGAACGTGAATGGCGTATTCAATTGGTCAGCAATAGACTAGAGTTAAAAAAATAACTGTAAGGTGTAGTGCATCAGTTAAAGCTCACTAGAGGAACAGATTTCATATTATGTATATACACACACTCATATATATAATATTATATATAAAAGATTTTCACAGTAGATTTACAACACCTGCCTCCTAGTCTGGGTAGAAGGATGTGTAGAGGTCTGTCTGTGCCCTGGAGAGCTGCAATTCAGTCAAAAGTCAAAGGCGCAGAGCTCACTGAAGAGTCCTGTGTGATTCGACACTGGGAAACGAAGGCGTCTACACTGGGAGGCTGAAGGGTTTGTCCTAGAATCCTAGAGACAGACCTCCAAAGGCAATGGCAAAGACTGGAGTGCCTCCAAAGAGACCAATCACTTTTTATTCCATACAGGCAGCCAACCTATTGGTTGGTTCCAGCCACACTCGAATCCAGAGCTGTGGTTAAACCAACCTGCTAGGCATTTCTTACTCAAACTGACACCAGAGTTAACTATCACGTGTACTAAATCACTGACATTCAAGGAAAGTAGCAATCAGAGGCGGTGACAATCACATGACTGTAAGCCTTGTATTGTTTCATAAAAATCAAAAGGATGATAATGAATTTCTCTTCAAGGCAAAAAAGAAGCATTTATGACAATCTTTAAAAAAACCTTGTAGGACAGGAGATCCTAGCTGCCATGTGCATTGAGTGTATGTATATTTCTCATAGATGGGTATCTGGGAGTTTACTAAAATGTTAACAATTGTCACTTCTGAATGATAAACTCTAAAGTGGCCTTTATGTTTTTCTTTATACTTTTTTGTATTTGAATTTTCTGCAATAAATGTATAGTTTTTATAATTAGATTAATTAAAAAATTATTTTAATTTCTAAAAATCATCTTCAAAGATTGTTTTACTCATGTAAGCTTTTGATACATATTGGGCAACAGTGTGTATCCAGGGATTGTGTATCCCGAGATTATAAACCAGGAAATGTCTGGAAGCTACTGCTCAAGGATATCCTTTAGGAATCTGCATGTTTTAATAGATAGTCCATCTGAGATAGGATTGTCATTTGCTTAGGGAAATGAATAAGTCTGAAAAGTACAGGTGGCCATCAGGAAGTCGTGTAATTCCAACATTTGAAGTCATTGTTTACACGTTACTTAAATTTTGTGGAAATGTATTCAAACTATTTCAGTTTCATTTTAAGCTACCTAGATTACAAAAGCAACCTTTTTCCATTTGGTCTGTCAGTGTTTAGGTCATAACCACATTTTCATGAATTTGACCTCCATCCCTTTGGGTAGACTTGGACCGCTGCAATTCTCTCAGCTTTGATCTATCACACAGCATCCTAGGGATTTCCCCCTGGCCCTTATTTCTTTGCTTTTATGTATTCCTCAAGAGACAGTTCAACATGGGGGTTATGACCAAGCCATTGGAAACCAAATGGTTGACTTTAAATCCTGGCTATTTAATAACCGTGTGATGTTGTATAAATAATTTTGCCTCGCTAGGTTTAATCGAGTCTTCTATAATGTGGAAATAAAAATACAGTAGTTCTTTCCTGAGATTGTTGTGAGGATTAATGAGATGATGCGTAGAAAACCCTTAGATAATTCTCTAGCACATCATGAGTACTCAGTGTACTTGTACTGTTAGTTTCACATCATCACAAATTCTGTTTTCCTTCTATCTTCAGGGTGTTCTTGCCATGTGGATAACAGAGTTGGTAGAATCTGCACCCATTCCAACCTTCATCTTTTTTCAGCATGACGCAGGACAAAGAGTGGGGACTTCATAGTCGGACAGTGCTTGACTTAGCACAGTGCTTGACTTAGCACAGTGCTTGACTTAGCACTGTGGCTACACAATTTAATGTGTAAAACCTGGCTACTTTTGAGTGTTTTTATGAGATGTAATAAAAAAATACAGTGGATTCTGCTGATGTGTGCAATCCAGTGAGAAAACAGGTTTGTAAAAACATGGTGTGTATCCATCTATTTTATTCACTGGGCCTGGGATGATATGATTTCCAGCTTTTTCCCCCACATCAAAATGACCATGAGTGGTAAAAGTCTTGTGTTGATTCAGGACATGAAGCCCACCACAACGTGTGCAACTAAAGACCCTCATGACAGAGGACTTGGCAAGAATGATGGGGTAATTATATTTGAAGCCACTATTTTTCAATCACTAGTGTATATTCACATACACATGCATGTAAAAACTTCTCCAGGTATTTATTGATGATGTGTACACAATATTCAGTAGAACATTTACATCAGTGAAATGCAAATTTCAAAAACTTAAGTCCTATGTCTCTCGCTCTCCATTTCTATCCCTCACTTCCTTGTTTCTTTATCTTTTTATCCCATGCCTCAATGAGGCAGGTACTAAAATGTATTTGTATTTTCGAGGTGTTTCTTTGCTGGTCCCTTCCCTTCTCAAGCTTCAGGGAAGCACTTAGGAAGGAGAAGGCTGGTTAGTGGGTGGAGGGGAAGTATTTGAGTAAATGCAAAACTAGTCATGCTCTTTAAATGTACTGTTAGTAGTTCTTAAAGCGAGTCATCTATATCAACGTTATAACAGGTTTTGGTGATATTTTCCCTGCAGTCGGTGGTGGATCCCTGTGGTGTCTCATACCAATCCAGAATCACAGAGGATGATGAGAGTTATAAGAAATACGTCTCTAGTCCCCAAGTTATTATCTGAGCGGATGATAATGGCTTTTGGAATGTTATGTAAGCAGCAGGGTGAGAAATGGGAAATTCTAGGCTATAAGCTTTTTCCTACAAATAGATGTTGTCATTCACCATCGTTTTCTTTAGATCTGATTGACACCTAAGGGCATAAGGGCATTGGCTCAGTTTCCTGTCTCCTAGTGACTTGGCGTTGGGGACAGGCTATGAGGGTGCCCGAGCAGAGTACGGCTTGCTCCCTGAAGTCTGAAAAAGAAAGTGATCAGTAGTCAAAACTCTCTGTGTTACATGGGGGCTCTGTACTCTGAGAGAGTCAGTTGCCAAGCTGGGCCCACAGCCATGGAGAGGAGAGAAGGAGGGGATCTCTCTCTCTTTCTCTCTCTCTTTCTCTCTCTCTCACTCTCTCTCTGTCTCTCTTTCTCTCAAAAAGAGCAAATGAGAGAGGGAAATTGAGCTAGGACAAAAGAGAAAGCAGAGCAGAGTAGCACTGGTAAGGTGGGAAAGACAGAAACCGACTACTAAAGAATAGTTACTTGACAACCTCCAAATCATAATGAGGAGAAACTTCCTGGCCTCACATTTTCCACATAAACACTCGAGTGCTGGGCAAAGTTAATGGGTCCCTGCCTGCTGTACAAGAGAACAACCTCTGTCCAAAGCAGGCAGCGATTGACGTCACAGACGGAGTGCCTCAGAGTAATGTGCTCCACTCCCCTCGTTTATATGTTTGACCCTAACCTTTCCCAGATGTGCAACTGTTCTTCCTTCCAAAAAGGGAGTTTCAACACTGGGTATTGTGTGCTTTCTGAATCCAGTCCTGCAGCAAAAACAAAAGCCCAGGCTCCTCAGTCTTGGAACCGGGTTTGTGGGCTGGATTCCCTGCGGGCTGCTTCGTGTCCCCTCTGCAGGCTCGTATAATGGAGCTTCTGTCTTTAAGAGCCCGTTATCTCACACCTCCAGCTGCTCCTAGCCTGTAGCTGGCCACCTCTCTTTGTCTGGGGGTAGAGGTGGGAGTAGGACAAAGAAAACAGGTCCTTTTGACGCAGCTCCAGGCTACTCCTCCACTCCTGCCCCACTCTCCTCTTGTGCTAGCTTTGATTAGCTGTATGCTATTTGCATTCGTAGGAGCAGCTCTTGGTGACTCATGGCCCTGCGGCTTTGTGCATTCTGTTCAGGCTGCTGGAACTTCTGCCTTTTCCCTTTTGGCTTGGTGCACAAAGAGTCCTCATTTGGTTCTAAGGGCGATGCAAGCTCCCCGACTCCACAGAGCCTTATCTGCCCTCCCTGTCCAAATTGGCTGCTCTCTCCACTGCTCTCCTGCACTGAGACTTATGAACTCGAGTCTTGTGCTTTCCAGCAGTGGTCTGTTTACTTCTTCTCTGCTTTGTGTTCCAGTCAGCTGTCTGTGCGTCTATTTCTTTAACACAATTTTAAGGCCTGTAAGAACAGAGACCATATCTTGCCCATCTTCGAGCTTCCAGCATTTAGTTCGGAGCCTAATATGTGATATGTACTCAATAAATGTTTATAGGATGAATTAATAAACATGGGGATAGTGATGTAACAGAAGTTATGTTTCTTGATGACTTTGGAAGAGTTAGTATTAACAAAACAGCAAAGCTTTCTTCCCACTGATGAAAAACAGCATAGGAAAATAAACATTTAGATTGACACAATAGGAAAAATTATTGCGGCCACTACAGGTCCTTAACACACCCATCAGCTCCTAAGTGCTTCACCCGATATTATCTCATTTTCTTCGTACCACATCCCTTTTCCAAGTGGCATGGGAATTCTGTCATCACTGTTTATATTATTTCAAGATTCTAGACAACATGATTATGTAGCCTGCTGTGGAGACATGTTCCAAGACCTCTGCACCCTTTGGAAAGCCCTAAGTCCCTGTATTGCAAAGCGAGTGTACTGTTACAGAGAGGCTAAACAAAGGATCCCAGCTTCCATATTCCCTCTGTGCTTGTTACGTAAAAATCAAACTCCCCTTCCCTCTGCACTTGGAGTGACCAGACCTCCTTTCCCCAAACCTAAACTTGTGAGGTAAGGTGAGACCCACCACAGGCTAACAGGGGCCACCAGCTGGGATTAATGAGGATATCCTTTACCTGAGAGACGAGAGTATGCCTAAGAGGGAGTACCTCACGTTTTGCAAAGCTTATGGTCTATGCTAGTCTTCTGTTTTAGACAAAGGGGATTGGAGTTTTAGCAAATTCTGAAGAGAAGAAAAAAGGAAGAAGGCCAAGGATGCGCTTGTAACCTGTGATCCGATTTGGGTCCACGTACCTATTGCATGTCTTCTTGTCCTTCTTCTCAAGGAATCTGACCCCAGTCATATAAAGTGCAAAGAACGTAAAGGAGAGATGCTACCATGATTCGGTTGCTTTAAACACCCAGCATGCAATTGTTTCTAGGGGGTATTAAAGGATGGTTTCCAGATCTTTCAGCAGCCAGAGGGCAGGAGGCCACAAGAAATTGGCTTGGTATCCCTTCAATTAGTGGAGCTGGGATGGCAAAGAGAAGTCCCTTTATCTGACCATCTCTAAAGGAACCAGAAGAGAGGATTTCCCTCTGGGGTGCAACCTTTTCTGCTCCCCTCTGGAAAAGATGACCACAAGTGTTTTCAAATGACTACTTCTCTCTGAGTAATTAGACCTCCATTTCCTCACAGTGGAGGTGTAAGTATATCAAGTGCCTCAGAGTTACTTAAGATTCATAAATATGTAAAGCCACAAACTATGTAATATAACTATAGATGATATTTATAAATATAATTGAAATTATGTAAAATAATGTATGCGTTATATAATTAATGTTAAAACAGTCCTTGAATATTCTGTTCCCATTTTCCTATGCAGCTTCTTTAAGAACAACATTTACCCAAATAGGACAAAGTAGCTACCCAGTGTTATGGGATTTTCCCAAGGAAGCTACGAATTGATGAAGCTGGGAACACTGTAGGAAATTCATATTTTTGAATCAGAAACAAAATATGTATATTTTTCCATAGTTATGGTTGACCAGGATATTAAGATCACACTCTTAATTTCAAATTCATTGTTATTTTGCTTTAAATGCAGATTCAATGTCAGGCATAATACTTTTAGAATATGAACACTTTTAAATATTGGAATTAGTCTTATATTAACTGATCTATCTAAGGAGATAGTCAAGAGAATGATGGGAAAAATAAAAATAATTCCCAGCCAAATCAGATAGAGGGACAAGAGGAGGTGGACGAGAAGGGAAAGAACAAAAGACAAAATGAACACAACAGAACAGAGGAAACCTGGGAAAGAGAAGTTATCGGATTACTTCCCCCATCAGGAAATTATTGCTAAGTTAATTCAACAGTACAGGGAAGAATGAAGTCAACACGCTATCGCTCAGATGAGAGATTTAACTCTTACTTGCAAATAACATTCCATACCAAAGACAGGAGTGGGAAAGAAAAATAAAACACACTAAAGCAGCTTTAGGGATTTGGTTCTCCAAACATTGTCTCTAATAAATATCTATGATGTGCCTAATTTTCTTAAAAAACGGCCCTGACATTTGGAGGTATAAAGATGAATCGGTCACTTGACCTTCCATCCAGGGGGCCCCAAGTTCCCTGCACGGGTATAAATCAATGAGACTAAAAAGGGAGACCAGAAAAACTGTTGGCTGAAAATGAGTCTCATCTATCTCATGGTGCCAAACTGCAGAGCATTAAGAACTGCTTGATATCAAGTCCCGTGGTGTAGTAGCTGCTTGCTCCTTTTACTTCTTTATCAAATTAAGGAGGAATTCTGTGTAATGTTTTTGAGAAATTTCCATACTGTTTTGCACAGCAGCTATGCCACTGCACATTCGCACCAACAGTGCACAAGGATTTGTTTGTCCACATCCTCTTCAAAACTTATTTTCTTCCTCTTTTTCCTTTCCTCGTCTTTTTTTCTTTTTCTCTTTTCCTTTTGTTTCCTTTTCTTCTTTTTTCTTTCTCTTCTCCTCTCCTCTTCTCTTCTCTTCTC